TTTGGGAGGCTCCGCAGGATGCTGCCACCGAGCACACGGGGCAGGAGGAGCCAGCCAGTGCTCCCAGGGGACGAGGCAGGGTTGTCTGTCCCTGTGCCACCCTTTATTTCCAGTAGAGGTTCACCACCACTGTTTTCGGTCGTCCTGCGTAGGACCGGAGCGGGAGCTGCTGTTCTTGACGAGGTTTGGTAGGCACCGGGCAGTGTCCTGCTCCAGGAGTGTGGGGATGGCCGAAAGCTGCTGGCCCAGGGGCATCTGGTCAACCCTCCCTGACTGCTGAGCTCGGGCTAAGGGGGAAACCCAGCTGCCCACATGTCCTGCCATAAAAACGGTGTCGAGGCCACTACTGCCTTGTCAGAGACTTCATCTTTGAGAACTCCAAGCTGGCCCCTGCTCCTCTGAAGCGCTTGCATTTAGGGGAAAAAAAAAGTTTCCCGCTGTACTTGACATTTTCTTGTTATCTATGCATCTTTAATCCCTCTTCATATCCTGCTGAGCTTCTGAGAAAGCAATTTAGAGGATTTATTCCTAGGAAAATCAGAAGTTAGCAGCTATTATTAATACTCATACCAGGGCACATGTTACTTTGGATTATTAAGAAAGGAAAATGGAAATATCAATGCTGACTTTAACTGTGCGGTATTTGAGGTTGTAACTCCTGTTCATGCACTTAAATCACGCCTCTGCTTTTGGGTCTGCCTTGTGTCAGCTGCTTATGTCTCCGTTTGCAAAGCGGGGACTCTTGCAGATGGTCAAAAGCACTTTGGTCGTTCCCGATTTGGGTCGTTCCCTGGCTGACACTTGCGATGTCAATGCAAAGCCAAAGCGGATCGTCCACTGAACTCAGTGGCATGACTGTAGCTTTGCCCCAGAAAAATTAAGAAAACTTTATTTCTTTAAATTGGTATTTTGAATCTGTTTCTCAGGGGGACTCTAGACCTACTTACCTCTCTCTGCCTCGGGCCAGATTGCTTTTCCTGATCTATATGGCATATAGTCTTGATCTCTTGGTGCCATTTAGATAATTATACTCATTAACAGACCTAAAGGAGGTGTCAGATTAATTTTGATGGAATAACTAGGCTCTGTGATGGGAGTTACCATGGCGCTGTCACTGTGCCACGTGAAGGAGTTATACAGGGGTCAGTGGCGTGAGCAGAGAGACCCTAAAACCCCATCTGCTTACCCCAGCAGAGCGCAGGAGGAAGGTCATGCCACTGGTGGAAAAGAGGTATTTGCAAAGTAGAGGGGTGCAGTTTGACTGGTTTGGATCACAGACCTTGACGACCTTCTTCTTTTCTTCATGTGCTCGTTTCAGGGATGTGCGAGAGGGGTGCCGGGTTGCAGGCTGCTGTAGCCCACGTTTCTTCGGTCCCAGGCTTTCGTGCAAACCTCATTTGGATCGGCGCAGAGCCGTGAAACACCGCGCCAGTCAGCTTCAACAAACCGCTCTCTAGGACACGAAGCAGGTAATTCTTTGGCAGTGGCCTCCATAAAATATTTTGCAGTTGGAATAATAGGGGCTGGAAAAAGCTTTGAGATAAGTACAAATGACAATTTCTGACTCAGATCAGAGAGAAAAATCAAATATAAAATCGTGCAAAAAGATTTTCTAGAAAACCGGAAAGATTTGTTTTGATGCAAAAATACTGGATGCTGTTCAAAGTGACCTCTAGAAAAGAGATTGGTTGCTAGTAAGTCTCCATTGCTTTCTGGACCACCTCCTGCAGACTGTTGCCTTCATATTAACATCGCCAGGACTGTCCCATGGAGATACGTGCTTGCAGGCTGGAAATCTTGAATGACAGACTATATTGTTCATCCGACACAGGCAAAGGAGGGAAGATACAGTGACAGATAATTTAGAAACCACAGGTCTTGTCACATCTAACCTCTGCTCATATCTCTGCTGTGGAGCAAGATACTTTAGGTTGAATAGTGATGGCTTTGCTAAACGCAATCACAGCCACGTTGTTCTGTCGAAACGTAACAGAAGCTGTTGGTTTCCGTATGTTCTTCATATATAGCGTTCTCCCAGGCAGTGGGGGAGATGTCGAAACGTAACAGAAGCTGTTGGTTTCAGTATGTTCTTCATATATAGCGTTCTCCTAGGCAGTGGGGGAGCCAGAGCATTTGCTTCACCCAGGAATCTATACCTGCTGATTGCAGGTGGGGTGAGGGATGGGATGCCGGCTCAGCGTCCCAGGGATAAGGAGCCAAAATGAGTGATTAAATTCCCTGATATGGCAACTTAAGCAGTCCAAGGAACCGACCTGCCTGTGTGAATATAAAATGTTTTTAACTTTCAAAATTTTCCCTATTCATCTGAAAACAAGAATGGAAATGATGGCTTTAAAAGAAAAACGGGCTCAGCGAGAGGAAGCTGGTTGCCTGTCACCCTTTCCCTTGGTGTTCTTTCAGTAAATGCCAACCCTGTAATGCGTTGCCAAGCTCCGGGTCCTTGGGACACCATGGCTCTACCTGGGCAAATGCATTTTTTCCAACAGCCCCTTGTCGTCGCACCACAGGCTCCCGCTGGCCTCGAGGGCATCTGGGGCAACTCTTCCCTTCTTCAGCTCCAAGGAGGAAAAATTAAAGGCAGGGCCATCAGATGAGACACCTGTGTGCAATCCCACGTGTTTGCTGATTTTACCTGGAAAGGGGAGTTTGGGCAACTGGTTCTATACTGGTGAAAGACTATTGTGAGAGCGAAACAGGGAAGAAAGGGGATTGCGATAGAAGATGGAGCACGGTCCCGTATGGACAGGGAGGCTGAGACTCCTCCACCGCATCTGGTCCAGGGCCTTGCATGGCTCTGCAGGGCTGGGGGTCGCGGTGAGGAACTGCAGTTGGGGCAAGTCCCTGAAGCGAGGTGCAGCATCTTCTCTGGATGTCTCCTGCCTACACGTGGCTGGGGAGGCAGAGAGAGCTGAGGCACCAAACTGGGAACACCCAAGGTGCAAGTGGTGCAATTTGGGTCCTTGCAAGCCCTCTCCCCAATCTGCTCCGCAAATACTTCTGTGGGTAATCGCAAATGTTTCATTTGAGAAAGAAAGAACATCATTCCTACCAGTTCCAGATAAACCTGAATTTGATTTTGGTGGTTAAACCAACAACAAAAGTTAGTATTTTCCAGCTTTCACACAGTCAGAACCAAATGTCTTTGCTCCGGGAAGTGTACGTTCCTTACCAAGGCCACTGACTACCCCTTGGTGGTAGGCAGGGACCTGCTGTGAAATGATACACGTACATAGGTGTGACTTGCTAAATTTGTAAAATATGTTTTACAATTTACATAAATGTACAAACCTTTGCATTGCCTGGTGTGTGTGTCTGTTCATATATCTGTATAAGGTATGCTGGACTGAAAAGGGAAGACAGTCTGGCCCTGGAGAGGCAGTATGGTAAATACATGCAAGAACATACGTTGGGAGGCTGCTTTCCCAGCCATCCAGAACAGGGACCTTCTTAATATTTTTTTTAGATCTGTTACCAGTGCCTAAACCCAGAAACAAGCAAGAAGTAAATATGGTCAAGTCACATTTGTCTGATTTACTGGAATATGGTAAAATGAGTACGTTATGTTATGGTTTCTTGCTCTTGAGTATTGCTGAAAAGATTTTAATGGGTTTTGATAGAAGACTGCTCTCAATTACTTCCTTAGTTCAGTATTTGAAGGACTTTTGTTTGTATATGTTCTGGAATTCCTGTGACAGAGAAACGTTAGACCCTCGAACGGTCTTGTGAGAGCCAGTGACAGGAGTGAACCTCTTCTGCAGCTCTGTTGTCAACCTCAGAACACCATCCTTTCCTGAAAACACCGTTTTCAGGATATTCGTGTGCTTCCTCCCAGACCACTGAAGAAAATGAGAACAGATGCAGAGCAGATTTTCGTATAATCTTTTCTGTGTGTGTGTATGTATGCATATCTATATTCTCATACAATTTTACATATGTATTTAATTAAAATATTTTATAAGTTAATCGCAAGACTACTGTGAGCTATACATACAAGAAAAAACAGATCTGAGGAATACTCTATTTAAAGATAAAGTTAATTTAAAGATAAGTGGCAGAAGAAATGTGAACTTTTGAAATATTTTCAAAATTCATTAGTGAATCATTGCAAAAATACATTTCACTGTGGGAGGAATTTCAGTAAACCAGGACTCTCGTTCTACTTCTTTCCTGCTTTTGAGAATATCTGCTGAAGTTAATGGGACTATTCTTACGGGTAAAATGAGCTGGGTTTGGTCCCAGGAACACCTGGTTGGACTTTAAAATGAACTTAAGCCTGCAACACAGAACCTTTTCATTGCTTGGAAAGGGGAATTTGAGCAAAAGGAGGGCACTGACGTGGTTTTGGGGCGTCTAGGCAGAACATTCCTGATTGGGAGGCAGAGATCAAATTTCCATGAAATCTACAGCTCTGGGGACTGTAAACTTGGTTTGCTGTATTTTTCAGATGGCAAGCCAGATCCAATTCTTCATTAAGAAGGGGGCAAGCAGAAGGGGATGCCCTTCCCCCTGGTGAAAATTCTCCCATCTTAGTGCTCTAAAATAGTGGTTGGTGGGCCTGTGGGTTAATTATACTCTTCTCACCAGGTTAATTTATGGAGATGTGCAATTTTTTTGGCACTGTGACCTTTTCGGGTTTGCCTTGATAATTTTTTTTTCTCTCAAAATTTTTACTACGTTTGTAAGCAGATACGCAGCACGTTAATCTGTTACAAGGACAAATGAATGAAGTTGTTGTTAGTGTTTGGATCTCTTTCACCTAGAAAGGAGAAGAGGGTACGATCAACACCCTTCTCACCACAGCATGCCCTAGTGAGTCACCTAAACTCTGAAAAAGGTGAAACACCAAAATAATCTGACCCACTGTTTTTCCCTTTCTGAGCAGCTGACCCAACTTCAAATACGTGACTCATGGCCCCCCCAGCAAAAAGATCGGAAGCAGTATCTGGGTCCGTGCAAGAGCCTCACAGGACACAAAGAAGATGAAGATGGGAGGAACCTGGCTGGGTCTGCCAGTTGGACAGCACGTGCTGGGTCTGGGACACAGGCACTTTTCAAACAAATGGAGAAACATGGTATTTAAAAAAACCCAAGCAACCCTATTGCTGTTATTCTCTCTCATCTGGCATGGGCACATATCTGCTGCTTCTCCACTCTCTGGCTTGTGAGAGCCCTGGTGGGTCTAAGTCGTGGTTTGTAAGATGCTGAAAATGGGGAGGGAGTCTGAAGCATCAGCCAGGGTAACCTGGTATCAGTGGACATTGTTTTGTGGATTTCTGAGGATATGCTGGCTTGGGGGGCAGATTCATGTAAGCAGGAGTGTGAATTTGATTGCCAGCAGAACATCTTGTGGGAATGATACTATGAGAAATGCATGGGGGCGAGTGCCCTGAAATAGGTAGCTTTCAATTAGAGACGACCTGGCTTTAAATCCCTATGCAGGGAGGTTGGTATGGAGCACTGAAAGGAACTAGATACTATTTTTTTTTTAATGTGCTGTTCCTTCTTGTTTCTTTCAGATGGATTTCAGAAAATTCAGGCTGTTTGTTTGCCTTGTAGGGCTCAGCTGTGCTAGCTTCTGCGTTTTTTACAATTTGTCTGAATTCCGTATATTCTGTGAAAACAGTCAAGATTACATATTCCCCATAGAGACTTTTAGGAGAATCGAAGGAAACTTCTCTCAGCTCCCGGATATAGACTGCCATAAGAACCCACCTTTCCTCATCTTGCTTGTGACATCCTCGTACCACCACGTCGACGCCAGGATGGCCATCCGGCAAACCTGGGGGAAGGAGAGAACAGTCGCTGGTAAGCGCCTGGTGACATATTTCCTCCTGGGAAGCACTGTGAATCCCAGCCAGCAGGCTGATATCGCTGCTGAAAGCCAAAAGTACAAAGACATTATTCAAAAGAATTTTACAGACACGTATTACAATTTGACTTTGAAGACCATGATGGGAATTGAATGGATTCACAAATTTTGTTACCAGTCCAGCTTTGTGATGAAAACCGACACAGATGTGTTTGTCAATGTTTTTTATCTCACTGAGCTTCTTCTAAGGAAAAAGAGGACCACTAGATTCTTCACAGGCTTTTTAAAACTGCACGAGTACCCTATACGAAGAAGAGGGAGTAAGTGGTATGTGAGTAGAGAAGAGTATCCGGGAAAGATCTACCCGCCGTTTTGTTCCGGAACTGGCTATATTTTATCCACCGATGTTGCTAGTCAGATCTATAAAGTTTCAGAGAGTGTTTCGTTCATTAAACTGGAGGATGTATTCATAGGACTGTGCCTTGCCAAATTAAAAATTCGGCTGGAGGAGCTTCATTCAGAGCAGACGTTTTTTCCAGAAAGGATTAGGTTCTCTGTTTCTCGCTTTAAGAAAATCGTGATGTGCCATGAAGTAGAACCATCTGAGCAACTGAGCTACTGGAATCACTTAGTGACAGAAAATCATGGAGGAGTTCTCTAGTACCTCCCCTGCTCGAATTAACAAACTGAAATGCTCCGCATTTACAGGGCTGCTCTTGACTCCAGCAAAACTCCCAATTAATTCCAGATCCATCTCATTAAAGACTTTTTTAATGGTTATTTTAATTTCCATTTCTGCCCAAGAACATGCAAACCTCTTTATTTCCCATTCACTCCCACCTCTTTGCATCTTTTCAGTGCACAAGTTAGAATTATTCTTTTTTTCTGAAAGATGCAGTCCTGCAAACCTGCCCTCCAAATCTTGCTGCTACAGGACTGGGAACATTTCTGCAGGGCCAAACGAAAAATCAAAGTCCTTTTGTTCAGAGAAGAAAATTTGCACCTTTTTCCTGGTCTCCTTTGATAGATTACTACATTTGCACCAGTCTGTGTAGACATTTAAGAAAAGATTTTCATAGCTGTCAGGATGTTCCCCTCCTGGCACTGGGACCTGCAGCCCTGCCCTTGCAGCCAGCTCTGTGTGGGCAGAACTGCGTACTGGCACAGACCCCTCCACACATTTTTTACAGAGATGGAAGAATTTGGGACAACCTTAGGTACTGCAGGGCACCTGGTGAATGTGTAGAAGGCATCTGTTTCCCTATACATGCCTCCTGCAGAAAAAAAAAATGTGGTAGAGCCAGATCCATGCTCAGTGGAGAGTGTCCTGGTCTTTCTACTAAAATAGACCCTGGAGACATCTTTTACATTTGTGTCTCACTTTTCTTGCTTGAAAGCTACTGTAAATGGTTTGCCAAGGCTAAACTAGAGCCACTTACAGTAAGCTAAACAGTGCATCTGATTTAGACATTTTTCCCCAGGAGGAACTGGGTATGTGAGGGAGAAGACAGGAGGATTTTTCTCTTTTAAATAAGATCTAGTGGGAAAATGTGCCCAAGTAATTGTTCAGGCTGGGAGCCTCATTTCTTATTTCATTACCAAGCAAAGACTCATGAAATCACTAGGATGTTTGGAGGTTTCGGAGGTAAGGAGCTGAGTCTTTACAGCAGATGCTGTGAAAAATACACCTGAGTTATGGGGAAGGAGAAGGGAGTTCATAAAATCACGCCTTATCAATACTCCTATTTGATTTACTTTCACGTAAAGAAAAGGTCAGTTTTACCAGCAAAGAAGTATCGAATGCTTATACTGTGTGTGAAATGTTTTTTTCAGAGGGAGCAGGACAGACCCACAAATGGTGGCCAGGTCCAACCAAGAGTCCCCATCATAAGGCAGTATCATGGTGATGAGGTACGTCTGAGGTCAAGCCAGCGATGGTCGGGCCCTGGTGACGACAGGTGGGGGTCAGGATGAGGCCCAGTGAGGGGAACCAGGGCCAGACACTGCCCCGGAATGGCAGGGCAGGGCCTTAGGGATGGGGACATATACTGAATGTGGTAAAAAACATGGAGGAAAGACAAGGAAAGATATTTTATTACTTTGGGCTTATTTATTTTTATTGTTTCTTTTCTTTTTATTGAAGTTTGTGGGGAATGTCCAAGTGTCTCTTTTTACTTGCCTGTGTCTGGAGAACAGGATAAATATTTTCAGCGAATATGCCCCATCCTGAGAAGTGTTTAGTAATGGTAACAATGTATTATTTATTTTCTTCTGATGTAGACAAACCTGAGATCATGCACTTATTTTTGACAATTGATGATGAAAGAAATAATGTTTATTTGTTTGGTAGAAGAATAATCTTCTTTATTTTAAGTTTCCTATTCAGAAAATAGCCGTGTATATGGTGTTTGCAGGGATACGGGCATCCAGGTGGTCAGGTGGGTGACCAAGGAGGTATTTGCCTTTCCCTAGCGTGGACCCTGTGCCAGGGGGTGGGCAGCCCAGCTCCAGGTTGAACAGCATCTCTCCACTTCCCATCCCAACTTTGCAAGTGTCTCTGCCCTTGGACTCAAAGCCCAACTGTAGCACGTCTACTTTTGCTGCTGCCTTCAGCAGATGTGATGGGTCAGACTGATAAAGCCTGGCAACAGCATTTTATTCACTATTCTTTCCATGTAACCTGTAGAAATGTCTTTTTGCCGTTCATTGTTATTGTACCCAAGGTGTAAGCTGGCTATTGCTTTAATTTATGGAAAAATGTTGAGCTTAAAGGAATGCTTCCTGGCCTCTTCTAGCTCCCTCTCTTGTAGGGTAGAGGGTCTGTGAGCTGGGACAGCATAATGCAGCCTAATGTTCATCCTGGCCTCTTCTTGTTCTCAGAGAAATAATCCTGCAGTCCCTTGTGGCTCTCACCTCCACCTCTGTGCCTGGTGCCGACCTTATCCCAACTGGCAGGACCAGTCCAACCCTGCAGTCCCACGGAGCCCGTATCTCGGCAGAATAGCTATTCATTTACAGATGGATGTCTTGACTTGTTCACCTCCTTTAGGTGTTGAGATCCAAGAAGTATGGTGGTACCTGGCTCCTGGGATGGTGCAGCTGCTGGTCTTCTGTCAGGAGGAGTTGGTGGCCAAAGGGTAAAGTCTCCCATTAAAAGACAGTATTTTGGGTTGCTTCCCTGAGCAATGGCTGCTTGTGAGTGCCATTAGAATATATCTTACCTGAGCAGTTTGTGGCTTTGTATCATCATAAAAAAAGTTACCCTTGAAGGTCAAGTTCTGCTAGACTGCTTGACTGTGGCTTTTATTTTAGTTCAGGAGTGTTCCTAATGACTTGAATACAGCTACTAACTGGGAAGATGGTCCTATTCTCTGTTAATCACATTTGCAGATGTTACTACTACATTTTTGGGGCTAAATTCATAGCTACTGTGCCATTGGGAATAAGGGCCTCAGGCATGTTTTAAGAAACCACGTCATTCTGGATACTGTTTCCAGGCAGCTTATTTGTAATTTCAGGTGACCCATGCAAGATGCCTGTCTTTATTACTGCATTTGAAATATTTCATCCCCACTGAATATATGTTTTTAAGCACCTAATGGCCTGCCTGTCTGAAGCATTTGGCTTATCCCAGCTAAATCTCTGATGAGGAACAAATGAGTACAGGTTGAAATGTTATGGATTCAGATAGCCTGTTTCTCTCCTTCTTGGCAAAGTAACTTTCCAAGTGAATGCTTTAGGTTGCTGCACATTATTTTTGTCAACATATGATTTTCTTTGTAGTCGCTTAAATTAGAAAATGATTTCATAATTCTCTCCATTCAGTAGGCTGCTTTGAATAAGAATATAGTAAATGAATAACTAATTACTTAAAATAGAAGGTTATCCTGCTGGAAAAGGTGATTTAAGAAAAGTAAATGATTGCATGCAAGGCAAATTCATTTATTTAAACAAAGCCACTGTGCTAGTCAGTTTATATGTATCAGGTAAATGAAATTAGCTTTTGCAGCTTAGGCCTCAGATCATGACTTTTAACAGAAACAAAACAGTATTAGTGGCCTTTTGCCAAATTGTGTATATTTTCCTATGAAAGGCCATCACAAAAAGTTCAGAAATATAACTAGAACTGTAAACACAATACTGCTGTGTACATATACCTATTTTTAAAGTTTTGTATAGGCTAATAAAAGAATTTTGGCAATTTTGGGCTGGTTTATCTGCAAAAGTAGTGCATTATCCAAACACTTTTATGCTTTCTGGGTTGGATGATCATTAAATCAGTTTTTTATGAATAGCTTTGAAAAGTTACTCTGAGAAGTTACTCACTTAGTTGCTTCTCATTTAATAGGAAGAAGTAACTCTAACTGATCAACTAACATATTCTTAATTTAGGTTAGGATTTTCAAAGATATCTGTGAAGGATTTGGTCATATATCTCATCTGATTCAGTATTACCGAGGAGGTATAACCCTTCTAGGCACTTTTGAGAATACAGAGTAGATTTTTTGTAATGAAATATTTGCCTTATGTAAAAGCTGAATGGAACACAAGGGCTAACCTTCTGTAATGGATCTGACAGGAATGCTGCTCTTCTTAGATTTGTGCAGGTTACCATATAATGTTAATATAAAATGCGTGACAATGTTTGCATTATTTGCATAGAACATGAGAATGTTGAGCTAACTATTCAATGTATGATATTTTAGTAAAGTATTTTGTTACCACGGGTTTGTGTGTGCACTTATCTTTCTGGTTGTGAATGTATTCCTCCTCCTTTTGAGGGGAACAGAGGGCCCGACATGCCGGCCAGACCCATCCCACAGGGAAGTCTGCTGCCTCCCTGGGGCCCAGGTAAGAGACGTCACCAGGAAACTCCCTGGTCTGGTCCAGCCCTCTGACTATTACCCGCTGTTGGTCTTTCAGGTTGGCAGCGATGAGGTTGAGGAGAATAGTCTAAGGGCGATCAAAAGG